TTTCAGTATGCTGTTTTGTAGACGATTAAATTTTTGTAGAAAAAATCGCAAGACTGAAGTATCACTTACCGTTGAGTTTTGGCAATTTTTTTTTACGGTGATGCTTATTTTCTTCTATATAAAAACGCGTTGGAAGAAAATGCGCAACACCGCATTCGGGAAATAAAATGAAAATATGTGGATACCTGCGTTGTGTTTTTTAATTGTTATTTAGGTTAAAGTTGTGTTGCGGTTTTTTGCAGAAATATCGTTTGAAAAATTTGAAGAATACGAGAACGTGAGAAATCTGCCAACTAGTAAAATTATACATATATCACACACCGTCTTCAGAAGGGTCACAACTCAAAATAATACGTTTGTCAGAAAATGTGAAAAACTATTTCTTAGCACATGATAATCATATGGGCAAGGGCGACTTTACCTTAGGTTTTATATAACAAAAATTTGCTCCAGGTAAATAAAAGCTCTGTACACATTTTTAGCGCATAATCTCAAAAATGCCAAATTTGGAGTTGTGACTCTTTTGAAGACAGTGTGCGATATGTATATATGCCGAGTAGAGTGGACACTTTTATTCTTGCTAATATTATTGAGAAAGAATGCCAATATTGTTACGGAATTTTGATGCATACATTATTGTGTGAGTAAAGTAGTCAGTTTTTGATGATTTCTTTTCGATTATTTTCAAAATTAATCGGTTAATCGCTCGATTAATCGAAAGGAAAATTTCGATACAATTAATCGTTAACCGAATTAAAATAACCGAATATAATCGGTTATTCGATTAATCGTGGCATCACTAGCCATTGGCCACAGTGCCTACCCACCATTTTTGAACCAATAAATATTTTTTTATATAAATACATACATGCAAACATACTGGTCTTTCCTCTCACTGAGTTATTCATGGTCCTTCGAGCCGGATATTTGCGGCTTTTGTTATATCCACTAGACCAAGTCGTCTAGGGGGGGCCGGTATGTTTAGGCGCGTCTGCTAACACCAGGCGCCAAATGCATTTATATACTGCTGCATGTGCAAAAATTTCCTTTATGTAATTTAGGAAATATTTGCACATGCACTTCTCAACTGCCATATAATTGAACTTTCTTAAGTTTTAATTAGATGGCACTTCAAAGTATGCTCTGCCTAGTCGGATGCATCCTCCGGACACTGCTTCCGGAGCATTTTGCGGACTCTGCATGACCTACAACCATGCAGAGGTGGCAAACGAACTTTGCCATTGGTCACAGTGCCTACCCACCATTTTTGAACCAATAAATATTTTTTTTATATAAATACATACATGCAAACATCCTGGTCTCCCCTCTCGCTGAGTTATTCTAAACAAAGAAAATAGTTTGTCTCCTTTAAATTATGCTGAACTTAATATTTGTATTACTGTTTTATATTTTGATTTGTTTACCGCGAAGGACGTCGGGTGCTGTGCTAGTACTTCTGGCATGATAAAATAAAAGGTTTGCTCAGAAAACAGTTTTTGTGTTTTTTTGTGGAGGTTCTTGTGTGTGTGCAAAGATTTTGTAAGGAACTTCCCCGCAAACATATTCTGAGCGCTCAGAATATATGAGTCGGAAAGGAGTCCTAGGTAAGTAAGAAATATGAGTTTCAAAAACAAACATTTTTTTACTCTTATATGAATCTTTTAGGAGTCATATATGATCCAAGTTATGAGCCAGCACTTTGTGCCAGTATAAAAGCAATAACGACTAGAAATTTATATATAAACTTGTTTATACAGATATGAAAAATAATTAGGAAGGAAAAATAAACAAAATTTAGCTGCAGCAACTGCTATTACATGAATGCTGCAATATATGTATGCGCAGAGGTTTGTATATAAATATCCAACAGTATTTGAAATGAATTCCTTGCTAACATGGCTCTAAAGTAAGTTCATTAAGAGAGTTGAAGAATAAAGCCAATAAGAGTCACAGAACAGCATACAAGGAGCTCCGAAAGTAGGCATTTATGAGGCCAATAAGAGTCATTTAAGAGCTTCAAAAAGAGTCCAAAATGAGCCGTATATGAGGCCAATAAGAGTCCAATATGACTCGTATTGAGGCTCATTTAATGTATGAATTTAAGCTTATATAGGTCGACCTACGCAGGAAGGGAAACACCCTCATTTCGGACTCTTAAATGAGCTCATTATAAGCACAAAGGCTCCGAAATGGGACTCCTTAAAGACTCATTTATGACTCCAAATGTTTGCTGGGTTTTTACATTTTAAAATCATATAAAATTGAAAATAAAAAAATGAAATTGTTCACAATTGTTGTTGTTTGAGATTTAAAATGAGAATGTGTGTGTGAGCCTGAGCTCTAATTTTTAAATTATATTGTTGGCAAACGTCAGACTGCCTCAATGATTTTACCTTGTAATGTTTTTATCATGGAATCATGCGTTGAAAGTACAGCCGCCAACATTAGAGTGCAGATATACATATATGTAAGTTGTGTTTAATGAGCTGCTCTAGGTTACGCCAGCTTAAGATATCTCACAAAATTGTGTTTCATGAGGATTTTTCTTGCTCTAACTTACTCTAGCTTTTGTTTCATGAGCCTGCGCTATGTGGAATTAAAGCAACTTAGAGCATGATTTTCTGCACCAGCTTTTTTGATGGAGTAACTTAGAGCAAGGAACCGTTTTGAGAATTTCTGCCTGAAAAGTGTTTCATGATATTTGTGAACTGAGTTGCTCTAACTTGCTCTATTGTTTTTTTTTTACATCTTCTTGATTCTGCTCTAACTGGAGCTGCTCAGTAGCTCGTTTCTGTAACTTTTCTCTCCCGATTATTTCTCTACTGGTAGAGAATATACGCAGTTCTTTATTACTCATTAGCAGTAGAGAACAGGGCGGCGAATTCATATCTCGATTCGCCTTGGTAGAGAATTGTTACAGAAACGAGCTACTGAACTTTTTTCTGTCTCATTAAACACAACTATGAAGTTAGAAAGAGAAAACCAAGCAGCCCAATGTACCTATAATGACGTTTAAAAACAATAAAAAATCAGGAGCGGTGGAGTAACCGTCAATGGGCGCGTTTCTAAGATGCAACAGTTTACCTCAACTGGAGCGGAAACGTTGTTAACTGTTGGGTCCAACAAACGAACAGCTGATATTTGTAAACAAGCAAAATTAAATAAAAGAGCACAAAACTAAAAAGTATTGTGTACAAATACAAGTTAGATATCTTAGCAATAGACGTCAGCCTGAGCCACAGCTGAGATCACCTGTTTTTTAGAGTTGCTTATTTCGGTCAAAACAGTGCTTTTTTGACCTTAGTTGCATTAAATAGTCTCATAAAACTTAGTACTATTTACTCTTAATTGGTAACATATGTACATATATGCGATGATTGTTTTTTAAAAATGCAATTTATAAACTTTCGTTTTGATTTCGACACTGGAAATATTGTTATTATTAAGTTTTAATATAATAATTTTAAAGATTTTCAAAACTTTTAAAGAGTACTGCAGAATGCAACAATATGCTTGAATTTGTTTACGTCCTCGTTAGCACATTCGTGTGCAGACTGAAGAAAATGGCGAAAAATATTGTCCGAATGGTAAGTTTGCTTCGATTTTTCCCTTATTTATAATTAAATAAATGAAATTAGTTATTTTGCAGCAATTACCAATAGGACAGACGGCAACTATTAATAGACTAGCTGATTTGGGTAGACGAAAGTGCACAACAGCAAGATTTACCCCAAAATTTAGTCAAGCTGTTCCATCCCCATCCACGACCATCGATAGTTTTCCAGCTCTGATATGAATACAAACTGTATCTAAATACAAACTCAATAAAGAACACAACAATTAACAGGCATTGAATATCGGGAATTTTGGATGGTGCTTGTATTCGGGCCGGTTGTTCAATGTCTGATTAGCACAAATCGGAAGCAGAAGCTCCGATTAAGTACAACGACTGCTTTATCGATCACATGTTACATGCATGATGTCGAAATCGTCGATAGTGTAGTGGTTATGATAACCAGACATTGAACAACTGGCCCTTAGGGTATCACTACTTGCCGGTTAAACATCATTATCGACGTTTTCAACATCATGCATATAACAAGTGATCGATAAAGCAGTCGTTGTATTTAACCGGAGCTGCTAACTGCGATTAGTGCTATTCAGACATTGAACAACCGGCTCTTAGAGAAGTACTGTGTTTAAGGGGTGTTTGCACAATATCTTTATCATTTTTAGTTCTAACTCCCAGTTAAACATTATTACCGGCCTTATCGACATCCATTATATAGCATGTGATCGATAAAGCATGCCATGTATTTAACCAGAGCTTCTACCTCCGATTATTGCTAATCAGACATTGAACAAGCGGCCCTAATCGCTCTGTTATGCATACTTGGCATTGCTTGAGAGTTGTCACATAAGAATCTGTTAAATGGGCTTTTACCCAGTTATGCATATTTGGCATTGCTTGAGAGTTGTCACATAAGAATCTGTTAAATGGCCTTTTAGCCCAGTTATGCATACTTAGCGTTGCATGAGAGTTGTCACATAAGGATCTGTTAAATGGGCTTTGCGTGTAAGCGGTTACCCAACGCATAGCACTTAACATGTAGAATTCTGTTGGGTTTTGATTTTTACGTAAAAATGGTATAGCAGTGCAAGTATGCATAACTGGGATATTTGCGTGTAAGCGTGTAACGTCTAAAATGATGTTTAACCGGGAAGTAGTGATAACCAGGCATTGAGCAACAGGCCCTAACCCACTTAAACATTGTTACCGACGTAACCGGCACAATGTTTAGTGAATGGAGTCAGGAACGTCGGCAACGATGTTTACCTGGGGATTAGTGTTAAAAAGAGATAGTGAAAATAGTCCTTATTAATGTTAAATGGACATGGTGAAACAGCCCTAAATGTCATAAAGTAACGCCTTCTTTGTTGTCTTGCCGAAAACTAAATGAAATATCATGCATGACAGCTATTTTGCATGGACGACTTACCACTCCATCTTGACTAGAGGTCTCACGGCACATACTTTCAAAACTGATACCATCCTTTGACGAAGGCGAGTTTTGTACACTTTGTGGCGGTGTTTCTAAATTAATTTTATTTATTATCTTTTGTGGAGTGCTTTCTGAGGAAGATGCGCTTGACAGACGTGCTGCATTAGAGAGACTTTCATCACTCGATTCTCCTGAAGCATTGTTGTCACTGTTCGCATATTGAATAAGTTCGCCGTGTACACGTCTATATTGGAATATTTGGTTATTTCCTGAATTCCACAATTGAAAGAATTACGTACCCTACTGAGCAAGATGGATCAGAGCCTGACCGGTTGCGAGGGATATGAATGGTGCCGATTCGTGAAAAGCCCAATAATTCAATCCCTTCTGCAGCGAACATTGGAATATCACAACGAACATGTGATCCCCGAAAAATATCTTGTGAACCTTTAAGTGGTGCGCTAGGTGTTCGTCGAAGTCGTTGTTTTTGATTCTTACCCAACTGTAAAGTCTGGTGACCATTTCCTGGGTCCGTAACAGAGCCATGATCGAAAATGCTCACAAAACTGGGTCTACGTAAAGACATAAATGAAGAAAACATTGTTTTTTTTGGATTTATAAAATAATTAAACAAATATTTGTATTTTAACGATTTTGATATCAAATTGTCATTTAAAAGGTAAATAGCAATTTTAAGCAGATGGCATAACTTACATGGACGCATTTCCCCAAACTTCATCGCCGTGAATCGAGTCGAGTGAGTCTGGTGTTGCACTGCGGGACCGTGTTCCAGTACTCGATTCCTATATTTAATTTTAAATCATAAAATGTAGAGTTGGATAAACAAGCTTTAAAGTTTTATTTACATCAAAATCTCGAAAAACATCTCTAATGTCTGGCTTGCGCTTTTGTCTATTTTTTGTCCGTCCACGTACTGTGTGATTCAAAGCGCGGACGCGTTGCTTGATGGCTTCGGCATGATGGGTGGATAGTGTCGCAAGGATCGGTTCCAAATGCGAAGTACGCAATTCGAGACCCTGTAACAAAACTTAGTAGTTAGTTTTTAATTTATACTTAATATATATAAATATATAATAGTTTAAAATAAGACATAAACAAAAAAATTCTGCCAGACAAAGCTTGGACAGTAGTTCATATAGACTAGGTGAAAAAGTCATTAATAAAACCAATAATGTTTATTATTATTTACATTTAAATGCAATACATCAAGGCAAATAATCATAACAGAAATGTTAGCTCTGTGTTCATATTTTCCAGTAAGAAACTATCCAGTAACCAAATTTTGAGAGCAAGCAAAGCAAAGCAAAAACTTGCAAAGTAGGGTAAATTGAGATAGCGAAAATGACAGGCTGTTTTTGCTGGATTTTAATTGAATAAATTTTTACTTGTAACAATTTGCCAGTTTATAAATACATATATGTATGTATGCATATAGAGTTTCTGATTTCCCTTTCGGTATAACTCAGCTCCCACAAGTATGCAGTGTGTATAATAGTACTAGGACTTTTCTTTACCTTTATATAGCTTTTTAATGGTTTTTGAGCTTAGGCTTGTATGGGAGGAGTGCGTAAAAATAAACCGATTACAGCCATTTTAAGGGTATATACTTATATTAGGTGCATTCTTTTGTAACCGAGCTACAAAAGAACACTCGCTTAAATGACGAAATACACGCAAAGCAACAACACAAACTCGGCTATTTATCCGAGCTCAGCCAGGTCGGTTAAAAAATACTCGACCTGAAGGCTAGTATTCGTAAGTTAAAAAACTGCTCTATTGTGAATTGTTAATGGGAAAGTGGAGAGGGAAATTTTTGTATAGAGTATATATATTACGCAAATACCTCGCATATTTACGCATTTAAATTGGTTTTTGTATCTAAATCCCGTTAAACTAATCACATTTTCTTGTCAGATACCAACAGGGTTGCTTAAGTAGCTAAAAGGAAATTTTACCCGAGTTGAGCGTTCTTTTGTCGCTTGCTTACAAAAAAATACAGCTATTATTACTAGTAGGACGGGGCAGACGTTGTCCTGCTACACACCGATACACAGGCAGGTTACATGCATCGTAGATATTGTATTTTACGTTTCATTTGATATCGAAATTTATTATAGTTCACTACGTTTGTAAAAAAAAACGATATTTGGTTACGGTTCAAAAAACAGCTAGGGGAATGAATAATAGCGTTAAATTACACTATTATTGAAAATATATGAACGAAATTTCGGAGTCCTACATTCATCGGTGCACTTTGAATGAAATTTTTAAGGCTAGGCTTGTATGGGAGGTATGCTTCAAAAAATAAGCCGATCACAACCATTTTTCGTTTTTCTTGATTTATGTCCTTAAGCCCTACGCTTCTTCCAATTTTCTTCAGAAATTGGATGGGGCTGTTACTCAAAACATCTAGTATTTTATACTTTTGCATTTATAATATCTCTAAACAATACCTTTGTTTGTTTATAATATGTAGTGTATATGTACATGCATACCTGTTCGAATGGTTTCGTGAGTTGTGGAAAACCTGCCGCTACAAGCCACTCAGCTTCTAACTCGCCCTCTATTCGAATAAATTAATATTTAGTTGATAATCGGTACTTAAAAAATGTGTATTTTCTACAAACCTTCGTATTGTGTTTCTGGTTCATTGTTTGGCGAACTAGTCTGATATTCATTCAAAAATTCGCTATAATCTTGGTCAGAGGTGTTGTCTAAAGACGTGTTGCTGCTTGTCATTTTAACATGCTGACTTTTATTGGTATTTGGAAAATATGGCATATTGTTGCTTTGATCACTTTACGCCAAGAGAGGAAATCAGCGTGAATTAAGGAGTATGTGAGAATATTGCACTTTGGGAAGAATATTTAATCTTCCTGCACCGTTGCTCTTAGTTCCTTCCTGTTGGATGGGGGTTTTCACTTAAAATATTCCATATTGTCAATGTCGTCGCGTGCAATGTGGCTGCTCTTCGATATTTGAATAAGTTCCTGCTGCAAAACAAGAGTAAAATATCAATATAATAACTGTATCATGTTTTATGTATATATATACATTAGGGAAGTCCAAAAAGTTAAAAATCTTAAGCTCTCATCCCCTAGGATTTTTCTAAAAGGAAGAGAAGAATACCCATATTTTTTCTTAAAAAAAAAGAAGATATGTATTTACAACTGCCTCAAAGCCAAGGCAAAATCATATAAGGTGGTGTTGCCAGAACAGCTGCTTTAATTCGCCTCGGTACACACATTTCAAAACTACTTATGAGTGAGTGCGAAAGTAAGTGTTGGAATTTTCTTTCCCTCTTCCTCCTTAAAGCTTAGTATCCAGCTCTTAAGAAAAGCAAAAACTCCATATAAAATGACGTACAAGAAATGGCTAAGAAATTTTCTTGAGTCAAATTTCCTTAAGGCAGTACGCAGTTCTTCAGAAATTTAGTACGCTTTCTACTACGGTTTTCTAAAGTTTTTTGTGAAATAAGAGCACAAGGCAACCCAGGTTTGCAACAGAAATATATGCCCGCTCCATTATTTCTTGAGGAAAGAGTGAGGCAACAGGCTGTGAGGTATAAAAAATGTCAAAATTCCTTGGACACACACGCGAAATAATGGCAATTTTTTCTTGACCGTTTTCTTAAGAGCTGGATACTAAGCTTAAGCAAAGAATAGCTGAAATTTTATATTTGTGTACCGAACACAAAACACAGATGCAGTTTTTGTTTTTGTACTACCGCTACCTCCTTATATGAATTCGCTTTGCCCAAAGCTTATGTATGAAGTTTCCACTATTTTATATGGGGGAAAAACATTTTTTCGTAGAAATTGTATAGAATTCTTGGAAATCAATATTTTTCGATCGGAAAGTGTGTTTCTCTTCAGGAGAATTCCAATAATAATACCCAGGTCCTTATTTTTAACATTTTGTCATTTAACATTTTGGCTTTCGTTTGTATGGGTTTGTATGGCCTACAACCGTCAATAAAAAAATTATTGAAATCACATATATATTAGTAGGCTTGTGCACAAACGTTTGTTTGCTTGTAAGAGAAACCTACGAGTAGCAGTGTAAAGTCTTACTAAATCGAATTAAAACAAGTGAAATGAACATTATTATACATTAACCATGTAATGGGTTTCGTGATAAGAAAACTACACACCTACTAATGGCCAATCAAATCGTTTGCGGCCAACGCAAAGAAACAATAAAGGCAAAACAGTTACTTTGCAAAAAAATGTGTCTTTAGGTTGAATTTCCGTTTTGCGGCTAACAATAAGTATGACAAAGTTATGCAGGTGTGCACATGTACAAGTATACGTTTTACACCAGATACGGGTACATACTGTAAAGAAAAATAATTTTCTAAAGTTTTAAATCAAAAACACAGAATGAAAGCAGTGTTATACCGTTTTTTTTCAAATATTCCGTTGAACTCTCTAAGCATCGTGCATTCGAGCGAACGATACCATGTTCTGACCGACATCGAAAACACGTTTTCGTTGCTAAAACTGGGTTTCGACCTCAAACTTGTGTTTTCGTACATGCGTAATTCCTTGTCAAATCGACCAATGGTTGACATCAACCCCTTTCGATTTGGATGAAATTTGGTCAGAAGTTTTATTTCAACCTATAATGAAGTTCCACTAACAGAAAAAATTAAAAAAAAAAAATTCCAAAAGTTATGTGAAATTCAAAATTTCACAATTTTTCCAGTTTTTAAACTTAATTTTTAGAATTTCTCAAAAACTATTGCGGCTACAAAAAACATCTCGAACTCGTTTTACTATTTGTATTAAAAAAATGTATTGAAAACAATCAAAGAACTGCAAAATTGATAAATTTTTAAAATTGAATAAATAAAAAACTAATATTTTTTGGGCTATTTTTTTTTTGCATGGTACCTCTGCATGTTGTGTTTTTTGTAAGATATGAATTTTTGAGTTTTGGCAAAAACAAAAGTTTTCTCTCGCAAGTTATTAATAAAATTTTACACTCATCGAATCTAACGGGGATGAGACCAACACAGGAGTATAGCGCTGGACTTGTGTAACAGAACCCTAAGGGCCATTTGCTCAAAGTCTGGTTGAAACTAATCTCCGGTTAACATGGTTATCGACGTCTTTGACTCCATGCATATAACAGGATGTCGGTAACGTCGATAAGGATGTTTAATCGGAGATTAGTGTCAACCAGGCTTTGAGCAAACGGCCCTAAGAATGTTTTGAAAGGATAGCTCACTTTTAGATGCTATCGCCGGCCAAAGTTAAGCTTTCTCAGCGTATTTTTTCAATTGCTTTGCATACGAACTATTCAACAACAACTTAGGGCCGGTTACTCAATGTTTGGTTAACACTAATCTCCGGTGAAACATAGTTATCGACGTTACCGACTCCCTGTTGCATGAATGGAGTCGAAGACGTTGACATTGAGTAACCGGCCCTTAGTCTGTTCCTTTGAACTGCGGACTAAAACCTGTGGAACTGTCAAACTACAATTTTACCCTCTCAGGTGAGAGTAAAAGGGGAACAGATGCAGAAGGGCACGGGAACGCAAAAAGCACTATTTCCTGTAAAAACGTCAGTCGGTTTGTTTACATGTCATTTGTACAACACTGATTTGGCTGAAATATCACTAACTAATTATTAAAATCTATACATATTCAAATATTTCGTTTACTTCCATGTTTTACAAATATAAGGTTCTTTGCTTACACCGCTTTCTGTTTTTGTTTGCACAGGCAAATCAGCTGATCGTTTGACACTTTTCATGAACGCACAGGAAAAATCTCCGGACTAAAGGCCTGTTGCTCAAATCCTGGTTGAGACTAATCATCGGTTAACATCGTTATCGACGTTTTCGACTCCATTCATATAACACGGTGCCGGTAACGTCAATAACGATATTTAACCGGGGATTAGTGTCAATCAGGCTTTGAGCAACCGGCCCTAAATCCTGTAACTTCTGACTAGGAACAGTTGCTCAGTTAACTTTCTCAAAAGTGTTCCCACTTACAGGTTTTATGTCAATAGGAACGACTTCCTATAAGTTCTGACTAAATCCTGTAAACTGGACTGCTATTGGAAAAGACTAACAATAGGTTCTTTCCCTAACAATCCGGACCAGATCCGGTAATTAGAGAATAAGCGAAAGGTTTGCTCTCAAAAATGGAACATAATCCAGAAGTACGGGAACGCAAAAAACCACATTTCGTGCCCAGAATTTGAGAAACAGCTTATTCGCGTTGTTTTTGTTTTTGTCACTTAAATGCAAACTCTTGGAAATTGAATTTTTGTTTCACAAATTTGATTTTAAGAATATAAAAATTGAAAATACATTCACTATTCCTTAAAAGCACCAAGTAAAAGCACCATGTAAACACAAAACAGCTGATATGCACATTGACGCTTTATCCATTTTTACCCGGAGAAAAAGTCCGGGTTGTTTCGGACAGGAAGAAGAAGACACTGACGATCCAATACGTTCCAATTTTCGCTGTTATTACCCATTTTGTTGAGTACGGGAATGATTTCTGGACTATTTTGGGCACCCACGGGATCCCGCGTTGCGTACGGGAAAGAACCTTATGACACGAAGCAACTGCACATGTTGCTAAAAATTCACTACTTACATCATTATCTGCAGCTTTTTAGGCAACAGTTACTAACCGAATCAGACGAAAAAATCAAGCGGATTCCACAGCTTGCGAAGCCTGCTGGATATAAATTTCCTGACACAGTATTAGCTGAAATTTGTTGATGGAGTAGCACGAAGAGCGAATTTATAAACTGAATGAATGTGTATAAAATTGATGACTATATTTTTGTTGTTTTTATCTCTAATTTTATTATAAAAAAGCTCGGTAATCGCGATAACCTCGGTTATCTTAACAACCACTGATTTTCATCTGCCGCTATTACCGAGGGTTACTATACTTTGTTGCCCTTTATTCGCATTACACTTAATACTTGTTGCTCAAAATACTAAAATTGAGTATTAATTTGTTAAAATTTTATTAAAAGATTGCGAAAGGAAAAAAATGTATTTTTTCCAAAACTCCAAATTTTAAATTTTTTGATTATTTTCAATATATTTTTGTAGCCCCTAGTATCCTCTTTAAATGTTTTTTTATGGCTAAAATAGTGAATAATAGTGACAATTTGAATTTCGCATAACTTTGCAATTTTTTTATGAAACTTTTTTCTGTTGGTGGAACTTCATTATAGGTTTAAAGAAAACTTGTGACGAGTGTTGCCACTTGAAAATATTTTTAGGTACCAAAACGCCTACCAAATCGGTTTCCAAACTACCAACATTTTTTGCATCATTAAAACAAGATTTCTTGAATTTGCTACACGAATTATCAGTAAAAATTAAAACTACACATAATATTGTTTACAGTATTGGTTATCAATTCACACCAATCTTTAAGGCTAAACAAAAGAAATTCGGGCCTTTAAGTAAAAGAATTATATTATTGTATAAACAACTTTTGTTAAAAATATATATAAATACCTTTGAGATTTGTTCAATTCATATCAAATTATTTCAATTTCCAAATTTGTTTCAATTTGCATACACTCACCCTCTTTTACCACCACACTCACACTTTGCAAATTGAACATCACCAATTTTACTTTCAAGACGATAGGTAACTTCTTGTTCTATTTCAAAAGCTAATCGGTCAAAGCTTTGGGAAGCGAGTTTTGGTTTGCAGAAAATTGTCTGCTTAGCAAAATATAGAAACAATCTTATACGTGTGAAGAAAGTGAAAGCAGTGTTTTGAACGCCTAAACGCAAATTAAGCGAACAAATTTTAATGTTGAATTTGGTTGTGTTTTCAAAACATTTTTGCCACACAAAAGCTTCATCAAACGAACCAAGCTACCAACGAAGAATGAAGCTACCAATTGGACCAAAACGGCAACGCTTCTTGTGACAAAATTTCATCAAAATCGAACAATTGCACTATGGTTTGGCGACTATAATTTGTCGGCCAAAG